TCCCATACTATAATCGGCTTATGCACGCAATCCGAATGTATACATTGAGACTAACAGCCTAAATGACTACGACATTGACTTATGAGAAACCGGAATTTATAAACCGTCATCAGATCCTTCAAGATACATGCCTAGTTGCTGAGTGTTGACAGGAGAGCAAAAGTGAGTTCGGAGTTTGAAAATGACGCAAATAGATTTCTCTGAAGAAGCTCAAACCAGACTTCCATGCGAAACGTTGGAATCGTTTGATTTGAAGCACGCTGTGACTCAGACAAATACAATCTATATCTAACGTCAACCTTTTACTCAGCGCCCAATTTTTGCCATACTATTCGGTCAAATCTTGATGATAGTTCACATAGAAAGTTATTTTATTTATAAACAAATGCTTGTCAGTTTTGGTTTATGACTTTGATTTTCTATGTACTCGTTTTAAATAAATTTGGAGGTTAAGAATTTTGTTTCAGTGATTCAAGTGTAGATGTTTACTTAATTCCCTGGGATAAAAGAATGTAAAAGATTTCTCCTCCTTTTGATAAAACATCATATCTCCTTGTATACTTCTGTTGCACTGATAACGATATCTTGCGTGACAGGGGAATGTTTAATAACTAAAACGCTAGCTCAGAGAACAACTCACTATGACAGCAACAAATACTCATCACAATTAATTTTCGACCTTGTTCATTAAAATACCAGCAACTAGTGCTTTTGGTTGTCTACTCTTCTATGTGTGAATTCCAAGATTTTCGAATACAGTACTTAACAATCATGAACACCAGATCGACCATTCATGTTAATACTTTATAGTGACTGGTTTAACTGGAAATATCTCAGACTGAATAACGAGTTAAAGCTATTTTCCTGGAAGGTAATTAGTATGAAATTTGGTTATAAAAGTATCTATGGTCATTTCATATCACCTTTAAAGTCACTTCAGATTGCAAGACTAAGATCTTAGGATATGAACCAGTCATTACAGGGTAACTGATATAGCAATCTAGTCCTTAGTGCCCAGCATTGACCAAAGTTTGTACATCACCGAGGGAATAACAGTGTCCTTACTGTCGCAGATATGCCTCTTTAATGAGCGTGATCAAACATGAAATCTAATTTCAAAGTCTCCATTTGACTGGCTCCAAGCATGTACCATTTACAAGCGTTAATACAGTCTGGAATAAGTCTTAATTTTACAGGTTTAATACAGCTAATGAAGTTTAGTGCGTACTGGTCAATATGTAAAAGTTTATTTGAAGTCTGTTGACTTTTAGAGTACACTCTGAAAAGCGACTAAGAAATAACTTTCAGATTTCATTTGTTCAGTACAAACTTGTTATCGAGTAATTCCGAATCAGGTGTAAGTAGTAATTCACCAGAAAAAGTAATCTTCAAATGTTTGACTACTTCAGGCTTCATTAATACGATGTGTCTACCTCACAGTAAGAAAATAATGAAGCAAACTTTGGAGACTTCAAAAAGTTCACTGTGTTATCTTAGGTGTAATGTCTAGGGTTGAAGCAATGTGGCACAGTGGTATCCAATTTTATCAAAATTGAAAGGGGTGCATGAAGCACCAATAAAATATAGATATTTTGTTTTTAAGGAACTACTAATGATTATAAGTGTGAGTATTGGAATATTACACAAATAATGTAACCTATATGTAAACTAATTTTTTGTAAATAGAATCAGATTACTCACCAACATATGAAAGTCTTTACTTTCTAAAGTGATGTCAGAACCGTTAACTTATTGGTAAAGATTCTACACGAAATAATTCAATGTAAAGACGAATCCTGGTATCAAGGAAGTTTTCAATGGTCCCACAGCTGATTTCAGTCCATGATGAATACCACATTGAGGTCGAACCTCCAAACTGAATTCTAGTCTCGAAAATTAAATCGTACAGTAGCACACGAATACAGTGGTGTATAATTTGAGTAATGAGTATAAAAAATAATTAGATTCAAGCAAAGAGGCGAAATACACTTCTATGTAATGATCGAATAACTAGGAGAACCAAATTTTAAGGAAACTAGTGGTTTCCTAATACTGATTCTGTTTTCGAATACTTAACCATATTTTACTGAAGTTTAGTAGATCGTTATAATTTTATTCAGCATGTTTAAACCGAAAGGGATTTCACTGTGCTGACTTTAGTAGACATATTTTGCAAATTTTTTTGACCACTTAGTTTACGCTAATTGAATGCAATCCTTTGTTAAGAGAGGTGATAACATCTTGTTTATCTATTAAATTTCCAATATAAAAAACAACTCCATATTATCGATGGTTTTCTAATGACGCTAGTAATACAATCAGTTCATAGGTGGGGCAAACAGTCTATCAGAATGATAATGAAGACAAAGTAGCATACAGTTTGCCTATACGCTTTTCAGGAAATCGAGTTCTTCGTAGAGTCAAAAACAGAGACAGGATGTATTTTCCGATTGGACTAACGACATTTTGTTGTGAAAACCTAGAGGGTTATGATAGTCACAAAGTTAGTTTTAATTCATAAATTCTTTGATCGACAGGGCATGACACCAGTCCATGAAGTCTCTAACTCATATAGGGCGATGTAGACTATCTGGCTAGGGTTCCGGAGACAACAGAAATCAGTGGTCGATGATATGCCTGAAAATCGGTCACAGCGGTGCAAATGCATTTGCTCCTTGACGTATTCTAAAACACTAACCGTTATCCTCAAATTGTTTATTCTCTCACACAACCGTCGACTTTCAAAATCACTCTTATTCTATCCATCTATTGTTTTTTGTATACTACTGTGAAGTGTGGGAACTTGAACCGATGCACTTGTGTGAGGTTTTGCGTTGATTCTGTTTGTCTATCTTGATCGACAACAAACTTTTCTAGCAATTCACTTTGTAGTGAAATGTACAAAAGTACAGCTAATTGATACCTTTAGGAATAAAGCACTTCCCGATAACAGGTGACTTAGACTATGTACATCATAGTCTAAGTCACCTGTTATCGGGAAGTGCTTTATTCCTAAAGGTATCAATTAGCTGTACTTTTGTACATTTCACTACAAAGTGAATTGCTAGAAAAGTTTGTTGTCGATCAAGATAGACAAACAGAATCAACGCAAAACCTCACACAAGTGCATCGGTTCAAGTTCCCACACTTCACAGTAGTATACAAAAAACAACAGATGGATAGAATAAGAGTGATTTCTTTGAAGTTTCGTATGATCTTTTTGGTAGAAATATGGCAAAGTAACTTGTTAGATAATCCATCGAGAAAGTCAGATTCATTTTACTGTACAATCCGACGACGGTTTGCATTACTTACTGAATGAAAGTAAGTTTTCCTGTATATACCTTGAAATCGACTTGCTGATGATGTATAGAAGAGAGACGATCACTGGCTTTAGAATATATGATAGGAGCAAAAAACAACTTAGTGACAGTAAGTGGCTTCTGTTGGACAGTTTGCTTAGAAATCTGTAACTAAACAGAGCCAATGGTGGAAATTCTAATTGACAACAATTTCAAGCTAGTGATCACCGGGTTACTTTGTCTAGTACACACTGAGTATTTTCACTGGAAGTTCAAAAAGGTGGTTAATAGGGATGTTGAATTCGATCTCTTCCTGGTAAATTTACCCCTTTTTCAAGTAATTTGAAGCGATCAGAAAAGGTTTGTAAAATGAAACAAATCCCTTAACTTTGTAGTTTCCAACCAGCTACAAGAAAGAATAAGCTGAATCAGCACAGAACAAACCCACTGTCCGGACTAAAATCGAAGTCCTAGATATGCTATGTCAAGTTACCTAGCTTGATGCCTACACTATGAAACTGGACGACAGAATTCGTTCAACAGTGAGGACTAGATGTAATGTTGGTTACAATACAGGAAGTGATGAGTTTTTAAAAGAATTTGGACTTAGATTCAAACTGTTAGATAACCATTTCCTGCATATTCTAAGTACTTCCATAGATAATACATAAGTAGTAGTAGATTTCTTGTAATGAACTGCACAAAAAATATCTAGCATGGTTCACCTTTCTGTATGAAGTGGATACTGTGTCCACGAATAACATAGAAGTTTGTTGGAATAACTAAAAAAAGGCTTAACATGTTCTCCAATGATCAAGATCTGTTACCTGAATAGATAACATTTAATGTCCATTGGGGTTATTCGTTCTGCTGGTTCATACGAATCATTATTATATATATAATACAATGATCCAAAGACCAATTTTGGTCAGGTCTTATGCATTCATATCGAGATTTCTTCGTTAAACAATTTACGAAACTGCGATTCTAAAGCTATACAAAACCTCCCAAACGTGATTCCCTTTTCCTGTTATTCTTCAAAGGATCTCATTTTGCCTATTTTATCGCCAGTTCAGGTCAGTGAGATAGATGAGTCGCTCTGTAGATGATATATAAAGTCTTTCCAGTTTTATAATTCGTGCCAATCTTCCTTTTTCTAAAAACAGCTAATGTATTTCATCTATCTACTGATTATTTATAACATCTTTCGTGTTTCTAGTCTGGCTGTAGTCATAAAATGAAAGGTATTTTCTGCTAAACGGTCTTGTTTCAAAGTAACAAGGGAACTAAGTGCATGAATTTCTAGGAACAAATTGATGTTATTCAGTTTGAAACATCACCATATAAATAATACTGTATCATTAATAAGACGCTAGGTGATAGGGTTTAGAGTAGATCTCAGTGGGGCAGATGCACTCACATATTGCCTTAGTTTTACTCATCATACCTGATTCTATTAAAGTTTCATTTCTTCTCGTTCTCTTTTCACGACTTCTTATCACATCTAACTACTTTCTCCCCTTTTTCTCTATCTTCCAGCTTAGCATCTTCTACCTTGATGAGATAATTATAAGGATTGGTAATGTGATTTATCAAATGAAAAACTCAGTGTAGAATTAGTGACTAAAGTATGATTATTTAATAGATTTTCAACCACAAGTAAACACTGGATCCTACTAGTATTCATCTGAATGAGTCAGTGATAGTTGAAGAATATGGTTTTCTACGTTTATACAACTATCTTGGGTAATCCCGGATTCGGTTGTTAGTCACTAACAAATAAAGATGCAATCTGTAGCATATTAAGTAGTCCGTACACGAAGTCTGTTCATCTAAATGGACAAACCAATCCAGTTGCGTGAATCAACCAATGGAATTTTGATATCATATCTACATGACTTAGGACGAAGAGCAATTCGACCCTGTATAGCAATGGGAAATTACAAGTATCATTACAACAAATGGCTATCATGCTTAGAGGATAACTCTCTGGCCTTTGAAGCGAAGATCATTGGGCTAGAGCCTTAGTGGGAACATCATTCACTGGGGTTCAGCTGACGAGTTCCGAGTGGGATGAGACGCGCGTCCTGGATTCCTATGCTAGTCACCAAGATCAATATAGAACGAAGAGCATCCTGCCTAATTACACTCATTTTAGACAGCGCAAACGACATGGAAGTTACGCTTGACAGAATACATCATACTCAAGTCAAAAAACATCTTTATGGTTCACTACTTGTGGTTTACTTTCTGTTCTCTTCTGTTAAACTTTAAATCTTGCTGGCGAACTCCCAAGGAAAACCAATTCTTAGTGGGAATAAATTAGCTACGATGACTTCGAATGAAAACAAATTGACTTTCGGGTCAATTTTCCTTTGGCGTGACAGTTATTTACGACAGCTTTTAGACAAATACACTAATCGCTAGCAGTGAAATCCAGGATGTGCATTTCTCCCTATTTGGGACTCGTCAGCTGGATGTGACTGCCACCCAGTGAGTGATTTTGTTCCCACAGTAAATACACTTATCGCCTATAATGAGTCTGCTTTGGGATAGAAAATAAAACATCTTTACGCTCATCATTTTTATATACTAATCAGTTCACATTGAAAACTTGGTGAAAAAAGGTTCACATGGTTTAGATTATAAGTTGGGACGAAAGTGAATAGAGAATTTTCGAAATGAATACGTTAGATATGTGAATACACACAATCACACACAGGGTTAGGTTTTCTTCATTTCAGTGCCACAGCATCACCAAAAACTCAGTGTTCCGAAAACAGAACAGGATTTCTGAGAATTCGGGTCATTAAAAGGCACATTTAGAAGAAAATAAATTGTCAGTTTTACAAAAAGAACCTATATAGCCCCACTAATGCCCATATAGTCTCCTCCAACTTATCCAAAGGAACAGGAGGTTATGGGCTTTAGTGGGGAATTAACCTCAGCAACCGGTGACTGCTGCAGAGGCACCAGATCTCTTCGTTACATGTAATGTGGTAAATGTCTAGAAAGGAAAAAAAAGAAGAAAAGTTACGTTTAGTGCAACACTATAAAACGTAATGTCATGAAATGAAAACAGTGGGGGCAATTTCAAATTCGAAACTGAAAAAAAACACGGCTGAATTACACTTATAGTTGATAAAACAATAACGACTTTCTGGAGACAAAACACGTTTCATGGACCTTAGAACGTACTATGACATTCTAATGAGATGTTAGCTGAAATACTGTGGTTTTCTATTCAAACAAAACACGAGTGTTTACTGAATGAGTCATGAACTCAGGAACACAACAAGCGACACATGAAAAATTAGAACTCATGCACCACAGTTCAACTGGATACGAAATGCTGAAGTTACACGGAGTTCCAAGTTCGGAGGTGAATTAGCAGATCAGTTGACAAGGTGGAACTTCGTACTCGATGAAATAAGAGGCGTAGTAAAAGCACTACTGGGTGGAGGGAAACGCCAAATAAATATAAACAGAATAATTCGGATTGCGAAACAGATTACATATGTACTTGTAGGGGGATACAAACTTCCTGGTTGACTAAAGCAAGTTAGTAGAGCTGAAACGTCGACAACAGATAGTAAGTATACAAATAGACCTAAGGCACTGTGTTAGATTATAATTCCATATCAGATAAGATAATTCGAAGAAACACGCAGTGATAACTCTGTTTCAAATAAGCTTATCTGATAGGGAGCAAGTAATCTTCACCTCAAAGTCTGCTCTTCTTTCCCAGTGCAATTCAAAGTATGGTAACCGACACACACTAACATTAATACATGGTCCTACTAATTCATGGTAAAACATAATGTAAGTTTATTTGCATACATGTTGGAGGCTAAATGCATACCACCAGTCTAGGAAGTCTTTGACTCTGTTGGTCTAAGCAGTGTAAGTAAATATAGACTTCCTGGTTTGGGTCCAAATAACAACTTAAATGAGTAATGAGAAACTTTAGGCGATATTGTTCAGAATCAATCTCAGTCATACAGATGCATCCATACATTATTTTCATTTTAGTCATCATATCCAGTTCCCCTCTAGTTTCATCTCTTCTCGTTCTCTTTTCACGACTTTCTACCACAGCTGACTCCTTTCTTCTCTATCTCCCAGCTTAGAATCTATCTAAATCAGATGATATGAGGATTGGCAGAATGGACGGTTAAGCAGTAAGGGCAAGTATCATGCTGATGCTGATTAAGTGAAATCAGAAATTATCGCTCAAATCAAATATAGTAGTAGGTTAATATAATGAATGAAGACAATATAATGCACAATAAGTAGTACATGTCAAGTAGTCACAAAAACTAGCAGCTAACTAGCATCGCATTGCATTCATCCACGCTTAAACATTAAATAATTAACTATACACTCTACCTTTTAAATATTTTTATCAAAATGTAACCAACCTCAGAGGATGTTGGATGAATCCCAATCGTACGATCAAAATCAGCTTTAGTCGCACCCATTTTAATTGCAATCGCATATCCCTGAGTTATTTCACCAGCATTAGGACCCAAAACATGTAGACCTAACACACGCATTTTCTGAAAAACAGAAAAGTGAGAAACAAAAATGATAGGAAGTGTGGGGAAAATTTTTAGTATTGAGTCATGTAAACAGTATGGAGTGTTTGCTGAATCCGCCTATTACAAAATAGTTTCATAACTCAGTTTAAGCGCCAAAATAATGAGTCATATGGCAATTAAACATTGCAAGTGAGTTTTTTGAGTGGCGTTTGATTGTCTGTCTATTTCAATCATATATATCGAGCAACAACTAATGTCACTTTGTTGAACGTTAACCTAGTCTTAGTCCAAAATGACCAATAAGCTACGTAACTAGACGTGGCAGCCTAACTAGTTTCACGATCACATCTACAACTGCAATGCAAGACTATAGAGTTTTGATGGATTCCTGAAAAAACATTACACTCTAAGAGAACCGCTGAGTATCGATAGATGAAAATCTCTCCTCGAAAAAGCCTTGCTGATCATTAACAACGATCTAGCATTGTATTAAGTTCAATTATACGCTTCAGATAAGCAACACCGTTAGATAAATAAAATTCAATACTAGCACAAACAATCATATACATGCACGCTCTTAAGGTCTTTGTGCAAAGACTCGACGATCACTTAGGACTCCCAAGAGTATGAATATAAGGTGATGTATGTACAACCAGCATTTACAACTACTCAGAAATGATTTCTCCACAAATCAATTAGGCTGTTTGTTTTAAAATACATACCTACAAAGAAACCACTGTATTATTATAACCAAAAGTAATGTTTCTAACTGACTTACATCAGATTTGCGACAAACAAGTTTTGCATAGCACACATTATCTTCACGATGTGCTACAGTCCATTCTAACGGTTTGAAATGCGAATGATAAACCTAACGATATAGGGAAGAAGTTGTAAGTACCTCAGAACAATACGAAACAAGCTTGTCAATAATAACGTTTACTGGAAGTAACGGAAAACTTCAAAACTAATGGACAAGTATACTTTAATAAACAACAGTAAACTTTTCAAAAAAAAGTATTTCCGGAAAATAAGATTTAGTAACATGTCCATCGATCAGTAAGATCACCCCACCAACAATAAAAATGACCACTTAGGATTCTTCATTTCGACTGGGAAGGCAAATTTTCATGAAATACTGAAGCCTAATTGGTTATTTCGGTTGTTGCTAGAGTGGTTTTAAACGAACGAACGACTCAGCTAGAAACTAACTGTCACCAACGTGTGTATAAAGTGAATGAAGTTATTTCTTTAAAAATATTTATATGAGGCTTTATTAAGCATTGTGCCAGGCCCTCGAGTGGAATCCGAAGGGGGAAACGATGAGTTGGGCGTCCCAGATGAGGGTGACATGGAGGAAATCATGTAAAGAAGAAATGAAAGCGTCTGGGCAGTGGTGGAGCGAGGTTGAAAAGACTGAAGAGAAGAAAGTGAAGTGGAGGCGTGCTACTGAAGCCCTATGTTCCACTAGGAACCCAAGGGACAAATAAATAATAATAACAAGGATTGTGATACTGACAGGTGCGTTGACTAGCCGTGTATGTAGAACACCCTAGGTATGATAGGTTTGGAAAATTATTCAGTCAACGTACTTACATAGTCCATAACATCATCGAGCTGCCACAGCTCATATCAGTACATCAAGTAAAAAGGCAATTAGCTGCAAGATGAAGATAAGAAAATTCAGTCAAAAGACATATAAAGTTAGAAAAGAGAGAAAGTAAAATGAGAAAATGGTGCGATTCGGTATAGCGTCGTTAAGATGAGGATAATGTGTGTATACATCTGTGCCACTGACATCGGTTCTGAACCATATCACACAGTCTCCAACCACTAGTTTCTCTTGTCCTGCGGATCCCAACCGGCTGGTTTGCATCCCCCCACATGGCTCAAACCAACAATCAAAGACTTTATACACTCATGCATGTTTTAATCTGGCCACCTCAAGCCTTTTCCCAGCCTGAACCTTCTTCGGCCAACATTATGTGACGTTAAGGTCAAAGTGTAGACAAGCAAATATCGATTATATCGAAACAGTCCCATTTAAACATAGAAAAAAACAAGATTGCAGCGAAAAGAAAATTTTCTTTTCGACGAAATCATTCTCCTTTAGCTGCACATTTGTGAATACATAGTAAAAAGGATGAAACATTCCAAAGTAATTCCTGAGCAAAGGTCAATATAAATTGTATCATACACAATGCGCTCGCGAACACTATTCAACTTGGCTGACAAGGGAAGAAGGAAAATGCATCCTCAACTCTGTAACAGGACACTTAGCTCCTTTCGATAAGTTCTTCAAAATTTTGTACAAAGTGCAACCAAGACACTTGAAAGGAGTGAGGCTAAGACATCCGGGCATTGGCAAAGCATTAGAGATTTAAAAATTTCAACCATCATTATGCGTTCGAAAGAAGCATGTACAACCTCTTTTTTTGTCATAGTCATTGTAAGTTATCGACCCCTCGAAATAACGCAAATATGACGAAATTATTTTTATTTGGTAATCACTCTGTTCCTTTCGCCATTAGGAAACTTTTCTTTGTGATACAATAATTTATAGTGACTTTTGACCGGGAATTACTCTGGAATGTTCAATCCTTTTTATTAGAGAGTGATTTCATCGAAAAGACAAAATGTCGATAAGTTCAACACTACTTAGCCAATTTCATCGATACTTGTATGTTATTCAAGAAATTTTTTTTCAGTTAAGTATTTGATGAGATAGAATCACTCTATTTGACAGACAATGAGTAAACAATAAAACTACTTAAAAATTCATACAGAATCTGATTTCAACTGGATTTTCTTCAATTACCGTAAAAGCTGTTCACTTAGTTTCCTATTACAAATCCTGTATTATATCAGCAGAATATAGTAAATAAACTGAGATGGCAATTTTACAGTCTATAAGTCTAACATTTAGGTGTAGTCCACTTGAGTACCAGCAGAATAAGGTAGTATTCACTATATACTGAATGAAAAGGTAAGGCTCTTTGAATTTTTCCGACTTCAATCAACTTCACAGCTTCTTTATATTTCGTACCAAACAAATAGTGAATGAAAAGCGGTAACCAGTATAATGCAACAAAATAAACAAAAAGTTGACAGACATGCCATATTCTCAACAGATACCTTAGTTAACTAGGAATGTATATCTAAGTCATCTGTTAAAAGAAAACTGATATGAATTTATTCACAACATAAATCAAGTGAAATCTCAGGATAAATAGTCAATGATTAGTGTTGTTGGATGACAATATCACTGAGAGGATAAAAATTAAGGCAAAACATACTTCAATATCATTTTCACCAAACTTGTCAATTGCATCCTCTTCACTCATTCCACAAGCACCATATTCTAGTGGGGTGAAAACAGTTGTCGCTACATTGGTATAATCAGTCTATGAGTGGATAAAATAAAAAGAAACCGTAAAAGATTAATTAATGCTTGCATAACGAATAATTGAACTAATGAGGCATTAGAAAGAGGACTTTTACAGCAGATAAGTGTAGAACATATTCATTTTCTGCATTGAAATAATGACATATCCAGAATCTCCCTTTTTCCTCCGTAAATTGATTCTTTTTATTTGCAGTAGGTATTTGGATGGACAAATATGTCCAAATTCAAATCCCATTTCAAGATAGTATGTATAACTATTCAAACCTGGCAGCACTGGATAGCTTGTTTCATTCTTGTATGGTTCTCCGACTGATGTCAGTCAGTGAGGAATCCCATAATGAAATCAATAAATCCCCACAAAACCTTAAAACTGAATTCGATCACTTTCTCTTCAAGTAATGCACCCGTCAATGTCAATGCCATCAGTGTGATCATAACTCTTTGGATGGCTCTCATTATTCTCTAAAACTTATTCTTACTTGAGACAATATGATTACTTGTTTCGAGAATTCAAATTTAAACAAATATGTCATCAAAATTAAAAACAATAACACACATGTTGTGGAACAGTCCTCTACAAATATCCTATCACCATATAGTCGAAAACTATGAAAGAAAACACTTATGGGGTTGACTTTCAAAAATGCCTCCAACTGACACCTAGAGTAAAGCACTTTCTCATCACTACCGTTAAAGGAGATTCCCTAGTAGACTACTACAGGCTTTGATAAAGATTTTGAAAAGTCAGTAGGCGAAAACATTTATTGGAACCAAACAAGTAAGGTTTCGAAATGCACTCAAGCACTCTTTTGCATATTTGTGCAGTAGGCAATGAACCACACTTATTGTATGACGGCCAGTGATACTACTTGGTTTTCCAAACCTCGGTAAGGGGACCGGGGCTTCAACCAGTGATCTATCGGTCGAAAGTCATCCCCCCCCCCACATACACACCAATCAGCCACAGACCCACGAGAAATAAAGTTAGTCTGAAGTGAAAGTGTAACTGCAACTTTCAAACAACGAAAATTATCTTTTCTATCAAAAATATATAATTGAGTTGGTTCATATTCTTGATAAATTGACACAGTGCTACATGCTTGTAGAGTCAAATGGAATCTAATTATGCATACCATACACGTAGTTTGTAAGTAAGTAGGGCAATGCATGAAGGACTTGGTAACACTTATCTGTTTAAGTATTTATTTTTAACTTACCAGCACTTGAATGCAATCCTACACAGTCGTTTGACACAAACTGTATGCTCTAAATGTACAGAACATAGCTGTTACGTTAATCCTGGAAGAATTTAAATTCAGGCCTGATTTAATCATTTTAAAAATAAGTCTCAACATAATCCCAACTTTAGTGTTATTGTTCATATGATACCGTCGTTGGTTGGACCGAATTGATCAGTCTCTGTTGGCATATGAGCTCCCCGTGGGATGCCCCGATATTGCCTGTGTTTTAATTATGTATAGTAATGATGGGCAGTGGCTAGCAGTGGAATCCAGGATGCGCATTTGGTCCTATTTAGGACTCGTCGGCTGGATGTACCTGCCTCCCACTCACTAGGAGGCAGGTACATCCAGCCGCCGAGTCCTAAATAGGACCAAATGCGCATCCTGGATTCCACTGCTAGCCACTGCCCATCATTACTATACATAATCCCAACTTGTTCACTAAAACAAAGCAAAATCTTTCTGTATTTTACTCTAAATTTTAAGGAGAATTGTGAAGTACAAACTGAGTGCTTAACATGATCTAATTAAATATGATGTTTAACATTGTCGAAGTATAAACGCTATGTATTTAGACTTACGAGTTCAGTTTCACCGGCGAACAATCGTTTAGCTAAATAACGTCCGGCTTGAATGGCCACAGGAGTGAGTTGTGGTTTACCGGCGTTAATATCTCCAATAGCATAAATGTTACTGACAGTAGTCTGATCATCATCTTCACATACAGCTCGACCATTTCTAAAGTAGGACACATTTCAATTTGAATAATGAGGAAGGACACAGACTCAGGGTATCTCATGAAAAAATTGACATCCTAAGTTTGCTAATAACAACCTACTAAACAGTCAGCATAAAATGATACAACTTACAGAGATATTCAGTAAAATTTCCGACTGATACAAGCATGGCTACTTCCTAGATGATTGGATGAATGAGTGTGAAGGAAAAAGCTACTACACCATAGTAGTGATGATAATAAGTTGAAACAGGTGAATAGGGAGTTTTCCGTAAATACTACATTGTCACGGATTCAAGATGAACATTTTCCATTTGGTCTTGAAAAAAACGAACCTACGAAGTTTAAGGTTAGTTTTCGTTTGATCCTAATTTCATTACGAATTTCAAAGAATGAAAACGATTTCATTAGGCCACATTACATAGGGAATCATCATACTTGACTACTCAGTCATTTCCCGGTGTTACAATGCGGAACTGTAAGAACGAACGATAATACTTAACTGCTTAGAGTCGACGGTTGAGACGATTTAATCCGAGTGATTCGCAGAGGGGAACCAGAAGGCTGGTAATCAACTGAGTTTATAATGTCTGGAACATAAAACGTTTATGAGTAAAAACGGACCCTATTCATAGAGTTTACAGTAACTTTGAAAGATGAGGAATAATTTAGTGCGTTTAAGGAGACAGGAGCCAATCAGAACGCCAGCGGGTTATACGAAATGTGACCCACGTGCGGAAACAGCACGTATGGAATATGAAGGAGATAGGTATCTATAACACCCAGCATTCACAATCTTTTTACTACAGAATTGAATTCTGAAAAATCCATAAATTATTTCCGATAAGTTACTGAATGACTACAGGATTATAGATGACTACTTGATCAGTGAACACTAAGTATGAAAAACAGCAGAGAACTATGAGAATATGCATCTCCCACTTTATATTAATTAGTACTGTGTTGGCAGGTACCAATGAAGCGCATACAGTTAGTTCACTTACCACTCTACTATCATCCAATTCACGAAAAGCTTAAGAAGACTTTGAAAGTATAAAACCTTAGGTTTCAATTCTATTTATTTGATATAGACTTGTAATCCACTGGTTTAGGCAGTTTATTTCGAACAACTAACGCATAGTTCTGAACAAGCCAATGACGAAAGCTCAGGTAACCCCACACAATGTCATTGAACACAAAAGTTGTGATTTAAAACCGATTCTGAAAGCATGTAAGTGATTACATCAATGGTTGTCTTTCAATATGTTGAAAACTGAATTATATTCACTTGGTACTATAACGTTTTATTCATGAATTTCCGGATACGCTGACTTTTCAAAATTCTCAAACACAACAGGCATATGACAGAGGCTACGACTGATTGTATTGGAAGCTTTAAAAAAAGAGCTTCCTAGTTAATGAGGTTTAAGCTTCTACCATTAGAAGAATAAAAACGGTGACAAGAAAAATCAATGTTTACAGAGCTAATCTTAGAATACAAATACATGTGACGATCGCATGACACATGGAAGTTTTGGTGAAACAACATCCAAACAAAACAATCCGATCTGCAATTTCTGAAAAGAATGGTATTTACCTACCTAGTTATTTAAATCACATGGCTAATCGTGATTAAAGTAGCAGTGATTTTGCACACAAAATCAAAGTAATAAGATACAAATGAAAAGTGGTTGTTGGTTTCAACTATGTGGGTGCAAGAACAAAAATTAGTAAAATAGTTTGTTGTGTGTGAATCACGCATATAGAAACTGAAGAAGCTCGAATCGGACTTCTATGCAAAACATTGGAATTATCTTATTTAAAACAATTAAATTTCGAGGGAGTTGTGGAGATTTGGAAATATTTCAAGTTGTTATTCATCGAAGACTGACATCAGTTGGAGGAACAAAGGAAACCTGGGAGCACTGTTCCTCCAACTGATGTCAGTCTTCGACGAATAACAACTTGAAATATTTCCAAATCTCCACAACTCCCTCAAAATTTAATTGAACTGGTGCTCATTGGTGACTAGCTTCGAGAAGTATTCCCGAAGTTCCAATGAGAAGTCGTGACCGGTGGAGTCAAAGCCTGATGGCCGTGAGGACAGATACTCAACGATGACATTGGGTGGCGGTTTGCGCTACATCGTGAGCTAACAGAAGTTGGAAATATGGAGCATTGCATTCTGACCCAGTGGCTCAATGGTAACGTGCTGGCCGCGGAACCTGAAGGTCGCGCGTTCGACCCTGCTGGTGGGGTCGTGGGTGCGCACTGCTGAGGAGTCCCGTACTAAGGCGAAACGGCTGTCCAGTGCTCCCAGGATTTCCTTTGTTCCTCCAACTGATGTCAGTCTTCGATGAATAACAACTTGAATTATTTAAAACAGGCTGTGACCTACATAAATACAAACTCTATCTAATTGTCCACAGTTTTGATTTTTTTTCTGAATGCCAAGACTAAAATATTGAATACAAAGAATATTATCCGCAGAAATTTAAACTACAAAAGATTTAAAACCTACCTGTCTAGTTTAATACCAACTGCTTCTGGATTGAGCTTCGATAATTGTGGTTCACGACCAACAGCAAACAAGACCTATCGAAGAAAATGAAATGAAATGAATACACTTTTAGGTGGTAAGTTGCTTTCCGGTCAACCACTAAAGCTACAGAATTTAGTTTTAATGAATCTATCAATGATTTACCTAATACACAGAGTTCAGTTATCTGTTTGTATCATGATTTTGTAAGAAAACGAGTAGTGAATTGAATCAGATAGAGAAAGTACTAAGTATGTAATAATGATTCTGACTAAATTCTAACTGGTGGCGATCACTATACAAACTAGTCGTTCAATTCACTTACGGATATGCAAGCGTATGCAAATACATATACTTCACTTAAGTGAATAGAGATTAATCCCAAGGTGTCGGTATACACTTCAAATACCACCAATGTTTCATGTGGCATGATGTAATACATTTACTACTCAAAAAAGCTACACTTTCTATGCGCATCACATAATGATGCTATCACCAAGTAGTGGTGTATCTTAATGTGGAGGATTTGGAAATGTATGTATACGCGAAAATACGAGTGTACAGATACATTTGATTGACACTAGGGTTTAGAAGCATATATATATATATATATATATATATATATATATATATATATATATATATATTGACCGACAAAGTCCATACTAGATAAATTAAATGAAAAACGCAACTTCATTAGTAGTATCTCCTTCAACAATTCTATATCACACAAATTAACTCAGATGGATAGTATCAAATGTAAAATTAACATGATTATACATATGTAAATAGGTTTAAAAGATATTTTTGTAAACCTACGATATTTCATAAAATAAGGAGTGAAACATTTCACAAAAAGATACACATTATCATAAATTACTTACCGTTTCGAATTCTTCTTCAAATTTCCTTCCATCGGTGTAATGAGCTTTTACAAACAGACGTCCAGGTTTATTGTTTGCAGTATCCACTGGTTCTATCTGTTTGATCTGTGACAATAAAAATGTCATCATCTGGTAAGTATTGTGGTATAGTCATGTACTAAAGATAAGTTTTTCATATGAAAAATTGTAAAATTGTGACTTGATTAAGATTGACTGTCGGAGTTTTCTCTACTTATAAACTCACCGTAGTAATATACAATAAACAAAAATAGAGAGGGCACTCCAGGGAGTGATGGCGCTTTCGCTGAGACTGGAACATCTTCACTCACTAGGATGCAAGTGCATTCAGTTGACGAGTTTTAAAAAAAGACTAAACCCACGTCGTGGATTCCACTGCATGCTACCACTGGACTTGATTTTTGTTTTTTCCCACGAAAAACAGTAGAGCATGGAGGATTAACGCTCAGAGTTAGTCATAACAATCCTAGCAGTGAAGAGTGTAACCGATTCAATATGTGATTATAACCAATGAGGTAAATTTTCAGCTGATCGTGAATTGATGATTGGTATTCAGTATACTGGGTACCTATTCTTAACGTTTATTAGAACCAATCAAAAATTCAAACCTAAAAACATTTTCCTTTCCAAGATGTGTGGAATTTCTAGTTGAACTACGTTGAAGTCATGATATTGCGTGTAAGCCGTAGACTACAATAGTAACAAGTGCGATGACAAGATTACTCCGAAGCTGAGGAACCACTTGCCCTATCCAATGTTCGGAGAGATAAGTCGGAATATAAATTTAGGCTTAAGGAACCTGAAAATCGAGGGACTATTCTGCTAACGGAAGCTTGGAAATTCTATAAACATATTGGCAACAAAGATTACTTCAATTTTTGTATAGATGAGTGGTAAATAAATGGGATTTAGATAGGCGCAAACTGTGATTAACCATTATTTTTAAACAAGGAATATCACAATCTTATCGAAAGACATACACACACTAACCTCATCCGGTATGCAAAGCCTTACAAACTTGACTCCATGTTTCTCCATGTAATCACCAACCATTTCAGCCATTTGTTGATCAAAACCACGAAGTAAAATGGAACGAACCATAACAGTAACGTCACCACCTAGACTGGCTAGAAAACCAGCACATTCGAGGGCAACGTAACTCGCTCCGACAACAAGTGTTTTACCAGGGAAGTAGGGCAGAGAGAAGAGGTCATCACTGAAAAAAAGAATATTTTTGAAGACGTGCCGGCGTTTTTCAGCTCACAAATACTACAGTGTTATGATGCCTGAACCAAAACGTCAGCTTTGTCAAATGCAATAAATAAGTAATAGTAAATACTGGAATTTAAAGAAAGCCGTTCATCATTTAGGATAACAAACGCCATATAAAAAATAAGCTGTACAGGGTGTGATCAAAGGAAACTGTTGTAGCGAAACTGATGAGAGAATGAATAAAACCTTACAATTCATTAGTACACTTTCAACAAACGATATCTTTATTAGAGTACATACCACAATAATAAATGGGCGCTATTTTGAAAATAACGACGAGTGGCTAAACACTCTCTGTAACGTCAATTGTCCGCGGTCAACTCCGTAAAATACTAATTTATTGAGCAACTTTGATAGGCTAATTGCCAGGAATCTACCACCAAGAATGAAAAATAAACAATACCTAAGTAACCGGCTAGTAGTTGAGTAGTATATAAACGATTTCCAACTAGCATTCTACTGTCTTATATGTGATCCTACAGAAACTGTTCGCAGAACAATATTGGTGAAGAAACAGTAAGGTGTGAAAAGTCAACAGGTTGAATGTTCGACATTTATGTATACGTCCATATTGGATGCACGACGTATGTTTACTGTCAGTGATGCTCGAAATGTAATTAGGCTAGTATGTAACTAAATATGATATGGGATGCAAATAAAAAACTTAATATACAAATGGAAACATGGTTTTCTAACTTTGTAAGACGCTACTTTGTGGGGTTACGCTGTGTTTACAAACTGAAGAAGTTAGGAAGGACGCGGAAGAAACTGGGATTTCTAAACGCAAGTGTTAAATAATATGGCAATGTAAGCAGAAACAAGAAATCTAAGGGTTTACACAAGGAATACGTATACTATTGAACGTGAATGAGCAAGTAACAGTTCTCAGCACTTCTAAATGAAGTAGGCAAATATAAATTTCCTAAGATTGTGCCTTAGATACTCGAGTGTTCGCATCAGCTGTGTATACCTACCAACATTGTAATGTACCATTAGATTAGGGATATTTGAAAAGTCGAATGATAATAATTGACGGAGCAGCATGGTGACATTGAAAAAAGATGAGTATAAGACCACCTAAACCTTCTTACATCAGTTAAGAAAGTACTAACAAACACCAGAAGTACAAGTGCGAAGATCACACAGTCAGTTTATCTACCAACCTTGTAATTCCATATTCAACTGCTCCAGGTATTTCGGGGTATTTCGGACGTTCACCCGTAGCCAGAATAATTTTGTTTCCAGTGATTGTTGAAACCTTGTTATTTCTCTCTGTAATCTGCAGTAGAATTGAACGATAAAACGTAGATACATAGGATGATATTCATCTAGTAATTTTGCAAAACAGTTAAACTGAAACTATAACTCTCGAAAGTGTGCCATTGAAGTACAACTTTCAAAACCAAAACAGACAATAAATATTCGTAAAACAATGAGATTTACAGCAATACTCTACAAAACGTGAAAGTTCTCACTAAATAGTTCACTTTTCGAAATTTGACAACTGAAAAAATCAAGCAGTAAGACGTTTATTGATAATAGGTTCACCTTCAAATTTTGTGAGCATCTCAATACAGTGGACGCCAAAAACGAAAGCCGGATAGTGGGAATTCAAAATACAGTGGTGATTAAGTTAGGTGAGTATAGTATGCATGAAATGGTTGTGCTGGAAGATGAGTAACAAGTTAGGAAAAAAATATAAGGATAATTTGGCTTTCTCCGCAGTACTGTAATATATTCATTAGCCCAGGAAAATCAGGTACATTAACTGGAAGGATAATTGGCAAGATGATAGGCTGATAAACCAAGTGCTTTTCCATAGATTAGAAAGTAGTTACATTGGTCCATAATCAACTAGCAGAGTGTGGTTGATCAAATATCAGTAATATGTCATCTCGCAATTAGAAGCATATATCAGAAGCAGCTGTGATTCCATGACCTAGACCCCTGACTTTCAACTAGTGGGTTGTAGGTTTGAAAACCATGGTATCAAACAGTCAGGTAGTATTCATAGTTCTTATACAACATGTGTGGCTCGCTACCTAGTCAACAAATGTGTTGCTGAGGCACAGTACGACTGTAAGTTGGTAGAAAATAACACTTTGGCTTACACCTCAGACTGTATCAGAAAACTACTGCGAGGCTAAAAATCATCATAAAACGGTAACCATCAGAAGGGTACATAAATCGAAAAACATTTTAAAAACTAAGTACATTTAATATTAACATAACCGAGACGTAATAAAGGGGTATAAACCAAAACAGGAAGATTGCTGACATACCTGCACTTCATGACGATTCAATAACACACCTTTGGCATTTAGATATGTGACTTGATTGTCTCTCAAAGTAACTTTATAGCCCCAGTTCAAAGAACCAATGTGACTTTGAACACCTTCAATCATGGTCGACCAATTATGGGAAACTGAGATACGCAAATACAAATAGTCAGTAGCAACAAAAACAAGACTATCATCATACACGAGTTAGAAAACGCGGAATCACAATCCGTACCAGAATTGAAAATGGATGCAAAGTTATAAATTTTTAAAAGTAATGAAATTGTGAAAGTGAGTTCTAAAATCTTTACAGTTATTTTAATATGTTTATGGGCGATAAATGTTTGAGATATTTATCACATAAAATAATACTGTCCTCTTCAGTAATACATAGAATAAACTAGTGCGCAAAATTTGCGTGGTGAGGGTCGAAAAAATCTGTACCACATTGGTCCCTAACATCTTGTGCACTTCAGTTGGGTAGTGTATACTTTCCTATATGGCTAAAACCAACAGTTAGAAAGTTAGTAGATTAGTCTTGCCTTGATCCCTCTCCGTTTCCTTTCGACTTAATAACACTTCGGTTAACACTGTGTATCGAGGGAAACAGTGGGTCAGAATGATTAGAAATAAGGTAGTCTCAAAAATATAATTTCCTAATGTATGTGTACACTATGAAGTCAGCCCAGGAGAGTCGTAGGCCCAGCATTCTATGACCAAACTTACAGTACAATCTCCAACATAACCTAGTCTAACACATGCCAGTCAATGTTTAGGATAACCTAGAAAAGTTTTTAGTTATTTTCATAGGTAGCTACGGGGCGTAATGATCACTGAACCCTCTTGTCTTGGTAAAAAAATCAAGTAATTTCTCGAGAACTAGAATCGCAAACACTATTACTCTACTATCTACCATGATCGAAAAAAATCGAAATTCATTTTAATAAACACGTTCACGTAGTAAGAAATGAGCAACACCTATAGTCCAACGGCTAATGATACTAAATGGGTGCTAAGACATCAATAAGTGGAGGTGGATATGAACCGGCGCCTCACTGGTTGGAATTCGAGTACCTAAAGCAGTGAGTCATAGCTTCATGTCCACCTAGGTGGGTGTAGATGCCAGTCAAAAGGTTGTACAGAACTCGTAAAAATCTAATATTTATGAAGCAAGCTGCAAGGGGTTTTACAAACCATAACGATGATTTTTGTAACTGAGGTTATGTTCATCTATACTTCTTGAAGGATCGAAAGATGGTAATACTAAGTGCAAGTACATATTTAAACATGATTACAGTTCAGACAGTTGCTCCTGGGAGTGGTGACTTGCATCCACTGACTATAAGTGACTGACAGCAATATACGATAAGTTAGTTTATCTATCCTCTTTATTAGCACTTAGGTTTGGGGAAATAAATCACAAATCGAGTGCACTTAAGCAATAATTAGTCTTGTGAGCATACATCGCCCAGTGGTGATTATAATATCATTCTTCGCCTACAATTTCATCCGGTCGTTATATCTGATCTCAAATCAACGGCAAGATGAGTTCATCGCATAAACTTCAAATCTAAGGGGATATACCGTGGTAAATATACCTCGGTATGTTGAAGCCTTCAACGAACCTGATTAGTAATGTATCAGGATTGGAATAAATCTTACTCTCATCACTTAAAATACAGCATTTCATACTGCGTGACCGTAAGAAAAATGAGAGGATGCAAAACAGTTACTGATCAAGAAAACCCGCCAACTACCGAATACCTTTTTATCAAAGAAATATCCAATGTAAAATGTCACTTACTATTTGATTTGTCTACGTTCCATCCAAAATGGTGTGCATCTTCCAGAGAATGGCCTGTTGGTAGAAAAAAAAACGTATTCTTATTACACTGAATGGCAGTGCTTCTTATATATATATATATATATTACATAAAATGAAACATGAGCGGGCAGATGCATCCTAAATGATACACAAATTCACTTACTGATAAGTGCAGCTTGATGCATTAGTTTTTTCGGAATACAACCGACGTTCACACATGTTCCGCCCAGGCCCCAAGTTGTACCCAAAGGAGTGGGTTCTACATAGTCTAAAACAGCTGTTTTGGCACCATACTTCGCTGCCTCCTAAAGAAGAAAAGTGTATGTTGTACGATGAACTCATTAGAAATGTGATGAATGTGTAAGATACTAAAAGTAAGGGGCAATGCTATCCTATCATAAATATACGAGTAAGAAAACTGATAGCACACTTATAGTTCATGTTTCGCGGTAAACTCGACAGGAATAGTAGAAAAAGGGAACTACAAGTCCTCTTATCAAAATACAACAAGATGATATGTTAAAAACGATGTGATTAGGTACGTTGAGTAACGCATTTAATGTCAACGGGCAAGCAGAAAGCCTTTCCAAATGATTCAACCGTATTCATAAGTAAGAGGATAACTTCGGCCACTATACTACTTTCATAGGTTCTGGCATTCAGTCACTACGTTTAGTTGTAACCTATAGAAGTATTTTTAGAAATCACTTAGGTTGTTTGACTAAAAGAAACATTAGAATATGATATTCCTAAAGAATCTACAAAGCCGCGACAGAACTACTAATGAACACAAGCCTTCCGACAAAAGCCGAAGTCCTGAAAGCCATAAAGTTGTTGAAACCTGAGAAGGCAGTGGGGACAGATGGAATCCCACCAGAAGCACTGAAAACGAACGTAGAGACACCACTATTGCTGAAGGTTTGGAAGGAAGGGAAGGTATCTGCCTATCGATTGGAAGAAGGGCTACCTTATCAAACTCCCAAAGAAGGAAGACATAAGTCTTTGCAAGAACTGGCAAGGAATCAAGCTGCTGTCTACTCGAATCAAGAAAAATATTAAGCCCCATCATACTGGAGAGACTAAAAAATGTTTTGCATTCAAAATTACGACCGGAACAGCCTGGATTCATGAAGTGTAAATCATATGTGGGCCAAATTGCAACGCTACGCATCATTATAGAGCAGAGTATAGAATGGCAGTCAACTCTCTACTTCAACTTCATCGGTTTTGAAGAGGCCTTCGACAGCGTCAACCGAGAAGTAATTTGGCACCTGCTGCTTCAACATTATGGAGTACCACGAACCTTTATCAACCTCACTCAACAGCTATATGACGACACCACATACCAAGTGATTCACAATGGAAAGCTCAGCACAGTGATGCCTTTGAAGTGACGATGGAAAGGAGTAAGACAAGATTGCCTACTGTCACCAATGATCTTCCTGTTTGTGTTGTAGTGGACTGGACCATGCAACAGACAACTATGAGTTGTGAAAAGAAGGGCATACGCTGTCTGGACCGATGAGAAGACCCTAGAAGAAGATTTGGATTTCGCCGATGATGTGTTATGTCTAATGTCTTGTTGCACAAACGCGAAGATCTACAGGCAAAAACCAACAAGTTGACAGAAGAGGCAGGGCAGCGAAGACGGGAATACCTTCAAGTGAACGTAGAGAAGATAGAGGTGATGAAGATACCCAGCCAGTAACATCAACAACAAGCATCACTCACCACTAACCGGAAAAAAGTAAAGGAAGTAGCCCCTTTTATCTACCTATGTACCAAGGCAGCATCGTTTCAACTACAGGCGGCACAGGCACAGATGAGGACGTCAAAGCCAAGATCAGAAGGACAGCAAGATAGGCCTTCATTAATCTGAAACCAGTGTGGAGATCTACTGCAGTCAGCGTAAAGCATGAACAACATCTAGATTTTCAATACTAAGTCAGTCAAGTCAGTGCTTCTATATGGTTCAGAAACTTGGCGCGTTACGAAAAGCATTCCCAACGAACTACAGACATTCATTAACAGCTGCCTACGCTCGTTGCTGAAGATCAAATGGCCAGAAAGAATAAGCAACAACGATCTCTGGGAACGGACCAACCAAGAACCTATCACTCAACAAATATGCAATAGAAGAAAGTGGAGATGGACTGGGCATACACTGAGATGACCGACTGGGGACATCACGTGCCAGGTTAGGCTCTCAATTGGAACCCGGATGGGAAACGACGAGTTAGGTGTCCTAGATGAGGGTGACATGGAGAAGGTTTGAGGAAGAGATGAAAGCACGCAGGCAGTCGTGGAGCGAGGTTCAAAAGACTGCAGAGAAGAGAGTGAAATGGAGGTGTGCTAGTGAAGCTCTATGTTCCACTAGGAACCCAGGTGAAAAATAATGGTAATAATATAAATTCTTAAAGAATGTCATACTCTACTGAACTTTTAGTGAGTACTATAGTCTAGTAGTTGGTCATGAGGATTGAGGAAGATGGATCTCCTACTGAAAAGATAATCACTTTGATGTATGAGAAAGCAAAGTTGATCTCTTTTCACAAACCATAAAATCCTCATAGGAGTAATTCCCTTAAAAAAATTGTACAATTTATATATTGTGGTGTGAATATTTAGTTGAAGTATATCTTCAAGCAAAGGGTTCTGAGTTCAATCCATGCTCCGCGTAACTCAGTCTAGACAAACAGATACTGTCACAAGCCCTTACACACCAAGTCCAACTCCTAATTTGGCTTTTAAGTTTTACAGGGGTTATTGAGTTGCATTCATGTCATCAAGTAAATTGAACTATTGCGATTTGCTGACGATAAAGGTATCAGCCTAGTGAATACACAGACACAAGCAGAGTAGCACCTAGCATAATTGTACACTGTTGCGTGTCGCCACACTACATATTTAGACGATAAAGATATCATAAAATAAACGTAATAGTAGTAGAGGATAAGACGGAAATAAAAAAGAATTGAATGCGAACGAACAAATAGCATGTAGCAGAGAGATGTTGAGGATTTAGAAAAAAGTGGATAAATATGGGTCACGATAACCGATTTCAAACCATCAAGCCTAATCTTCATTCAGATTCTGACTGCCTTGTATACCTCAATCAAAAAGCGTATTGGGTCTTGTGTACTACTGGAAGCGTGAGTACTGTTGACACTTCCCGACTGTTTACGCCGTGGAAGGCTATTTCTTCTTAAGGTACCTGAAAAAGAAAGAGATTTGTGTGACCGTAGAGCCCAGGAGACATTTGTTTGAGGCCGGTCATGTACAGCCTTCTCGATGCCATGACAACTGGTCTGTAGCACGGGAGATGTAGTTGGACATAGGTTCTGTGGTTTTGGATTGCCACCAACCACTTATGACTGATCTAAGCCACCATAACGCATACTCTCATTGTTTAGGAAAATTTTAAGGGTACATGCTTTTTTCCAACCACTATCCAAAGGATTTTTCTGGTATCGTAAGATCCCAAGGAAACAAGCTTTCCACCAGCATAGCTCGTTGGGTCATCGTAATTTAAAAGCTCGACCACCACGTCAAGGTAGAAGCTACTGGTCGGCGTATACCCGTCACTACACGTTGACAACGCCACGTGGACGGAATTTAGGCAAACAAACCACAACGTTTTTCTTATTTAAGAAAGCTGTAAGGGAAGAGCGCTCTCATAGACCAGTATCAACAAAACGCCCGAAGTGACTCACGATTATTGACTTAGTTAACATAGATAGCTAAAGTGTAAGTCAGATATGATGCAATCCAGATGGTGGCAATCCTGAAGAAAGGATGAAAAATTCTACTAGTATGTGGTAAACTTGGGTAGAGTGTAATTCCATTGTAGTCTGTTTATTCGAATTGTCAAACAGTGAAACAGTATAATTTATTGGGTAACGCTTAGGATATAATATATTCTCCATATTCATATCAGGTCATGAGTGAATATGAACAATAAATTATGTCCGAAACGTTATCCAGTAAATGATACTGTTTCACTGTGACAATTCTCATAAAAACTAAGATAAAAATAATTCCATTTGTGACAACTGCAGAGGGATTTGTTTGATTAACGTGGTGTTGAAGACTCAGGGAAAAGAAATCAGAATGTAAGCGCGTTCCAGACCCAACAGTAGGTGTTTCAACAAAACTTCCAAAACTGGATCTCAGAAGACAAGTATACTTGAAGGCACTCAACACTAGTATTTAGTAACCAGGTTGACTCCATTGATTGGCAGGTCTTACTACAGTTCATCACTGAAATATGTGCTTGAGAAACATCATCTCACTGTAGGCCCTACACTCGAACAGAACAAATGAATGATAGTAATAATAAATACTCTATCACCGAGTGCCTAATCAAATAAATCTAAAAAGAATCTATAATCGAACGCGTATGCTCGTGTTGCAGCCTTAGGTGAGTAATCGATTGGCAAATATGGATTGTGTATATATGTATACGTGTGTATACGTGAAAGAAGTAGACGTCTTACGTGAAAATGCTGACAAAATGCAGTTTCTTGAGCAAGCTAACTGAGCTTGAGAAGCATTTTTAAGGGCAAATTGCTACCTCAGTACTGGTCTACAATAAAGAAGTTATGTACGTTGACCACTCCATCAATCTAGAACGGTATGCCATCTTCGACGGATTGGTGGTTAACAGAATCTTAGTACATGAAGATTTGATTGAGTTTCTCCAACTTGCACCACTTGTGGCACCAGTAAGGTACGCGAATATCATAGACACTGTGGAGAAGTTTGTTCTGCGATAACTCCATAGCTATAAGAAACAGCTATTAAAGGTGGGGGATATGAGGTTTGCGGTAAGTGACCACTTTTTATTATTGCGACACCGCTTATATGTTGTGTTCCCACAAAATAAAGCTAAGTCAGCTGATAATGGACTCCACCCTTTGAAACCGAAGCAGCTTAAACATGTTACACATGTCGACCCACAGTCTTCTTTTACAGTTTACGTCAGCTACAGCACCAAAAAAGGGTACAAATGGTCAAACTTAAAGATTGTATTAGTTTATTCTGTTTCTGGCTGTTGATTTGAACTGAGTAAGGAGAATTACGGTTCCCGGTTGGGTTCAGCGTAATAATCAAAGTTGGTGGTTAGATACTAGAAGAATCAATTGAAAATCGATTGCAGTGGTGCAGAAGCACTTCCATATGATATCTCTCAAACTATGATATTATATTTTGTTACTCAACTTAACCTATTCCTAGTTGTATGGCTCTCAATAATTTTTATGATTGATACTTAATCGTTAATCGAGTACTTTGATGTACTAGCGTTATATGTCACAACCTAGATCGTTATAGAGCAAACTAGGTACTACGTTAAGAATGACTGGTTTACCATAGTATCACAGGATTTGTGTCACCGTGCGAATAACAAAATCAACATCAAAACCCACCAGAGTTTACTTAACCTGATTTAGCAATATAGCTTAGTTGCATGACAAATCTTGCTAAAAATAAAAAAAAGTAAAACAAACGGTTTTAATTTCCGTAATTACTGTTTTTTCCGACCTAGTTACCGAAAAATATATCGCCAAATAACTATTTGTACATGTTTATATCAACACATATTTTTGATATGCAACATAAAAACCCATTGTTATTATACCATAACAAAATCAGGAATACCTTTGCTGCAGCAAGACCACCGGATCCTCCACCAATAACGATTAAGTCGTAGTCAAACTTGTTTTCATTTACAATTGCTGCCAACTGGTTATTGTTGCGGTATTTAATTATAGTTTGAGAATCCCCTTAGACGGCTTATTTTAGTATTACATGTAACTTACCGATAAACTTGCCCCTTACAAACATCTGAGGAACTGTTTCAATTTTTGAAAAACTGGATAGCGATTTCTGAATAGTTGAACCATTTGCTACAAGCAAGAATTAAAGAAACATAAACATACGTAACTGATCCAGTTCAATCGTGGCATGCCTGATCTTTTCTTCAGCCAAAATCTCCTTCAACTAAAAGCAAATGTTTAAAATAACAATCACTAACTTTTCGACAAAAAGGACATCCCGTCTTGCTGAACACTATTACGGCAGCCGACTCGATTGTTTTCCGTAACCAGTGAGATGTCCCATCAATTGGAGGCATAACGTGGGACTAAAATGATTGTAAAAGTTCAAATGCATAGAAGTGAAAAGTAACACGGGATCAAATATTTAGTTGGAAGAGTTAGCACAGTCACGTAAAGAAACTCAGCATGCATTGTACACTGCATGTGGAGCAGTTACATAAACTTATAGGTGTTTTTTACGAACACAGAAACTACTTGTTTCAGCAACTGCAACATTTTCGGTTCACAAGATAGTAAGGGAAATTAGTGTTGCTGGATAAGGTGATATGGTTACATTTCCGATGCTAGTACTTCCGACACATCGTCAGCAGACAAACTTCCGTTACATGACGCAACCACACGGACTAACAACACCGACTGCGTTCAGTATCAACATGAGGTAAAGAAGTACTCAACTAAATTTCAGTTTGCATAGTGCTCATTGGTGACTAACTTCAAGAGGCGATTCCTGAAGCTCCAATGAGAGGTCGTAACCTGTGGGGCAAGTCTGGTGGCCATGAAGACAAATACTCAACGATGACATTAAGTGATGGTCACGCTATGTCGTCAACTGACCGAAATCGGAAATATGGACCGTTGGATCCCAATCCAGCGACTCAATGGGTAACGTGCTGGCCACGGAAGCAGAAGGTCCTGGGTTCGATCCTTAGAGGGGTCACTGGTACGCACTGCTGACGAGTCCCATACTAGTGAGAAACAGCTATCCAGGGCTCAAAGGTTCCCAATGTTTTTTCAACTGATGTCAGTCCATGATGAATACAAACTTGGAAAATAAAGTACTCAATCGGATTAATATATTGATATGAGGTGTGGCAACTTGGACTGCAGTAATGCCTGTTTCCATACTGATGAGATTTAACATTGTGCAGTAAAATAGCTTAAAACATGTTTCACTGATACAGAGGTCCTCTAGGCTGTCTTTGGTTTCGATCCCATTAATTCCAAAAATTGACTTGACATTAAGATGCCACCGTCATGCAAGTTTGCCTCAAAATCTGCGTTCCGAATAATATTGTCAGTGTAGCGAATATTTATTTTAATCGCCTTCATACAAAATATTTTGGTGGAATTTGATGCTTGAAGGGCTAACTTATCCACCATCAATTGCCTAAGTCTCAAAAGATACATCTGGGAGCGCAGTAATATAGATTGGGTGGGGATCGAAATCAGTAAGAACTGTCACTTCATGATTACCTGGAAACATGCATATTTCTGCCTATCCTGACTTCTTACTTTGCCAGTGATTTTAATGCGAAAATGATGTTCTTAAAAAATAGAATATGTAACTAATTTAGCCAACACCAGCAATGGTACAGAAAATACAGCTGTTTACAGTAACAACTTGAAAACACTTTTGAGTGCGGTATTGTCTATCAGAAGAATTAGTCATCAAAATCTGTGCAGTTAGAATAGATTCGTGTAAAAGTGCTGAACATGCAGCTGGTGAAATCACATTCTACTGAATGAAGTGCGGGAAACATTTTAGTCTGCTCATCAGAAATGTCACAGTGAAACTATCATTTACTGGATAACGTTCCGGAAATAATTTATTGCCCATATTCATAACAGGTAACCAAGATTTTGAGGCATATATACCGTATACTAAATAAAGTGTCAAGATTGTGAATATCGACAACAGATTATTCTCGAGACGTCATTCATCAACTGATACTGCTTCACCGTGACATTTCTATTACACACACTAAAAATGGAATTAAAATGTAACAGTGCCCAAACGTGTACTCCCATATTAACCAAGTGCAGGCAACAGTTGATGTGAACTACAGGCACTTAGTTACATAAGTGACTTGATATGTACTCAAATAAAAACATATGCACTACGAGGGCCTGTGGTTCATTCGACATGAGCTCAAGGCCCGCCCCACCTATCAAAGTATGGGCAGTCAGCTAGTACCAATAGCCTTCACATAATAAGTGTGTGGCTCACTGCCTACCGTCCAAAAGTGTGTATGGTTTCTGAGTGCATTTCGACTTTTCTTCTCGTGAGGTTAGCCAAGGTAGGAATTAAAATGTTAGTAGTGTTGTTGCTGCACAAATACATAAAACCTGACGTAATATGAAAACCCAGACCAGCACTAATTCCTACTGAATAATCTGAGCAGGGATGAGATTTAAGTTTTTTTCCTAACAAATAGAACCGCAGAAAAGATAAATCTCAGTGGAACGGTTGACAATATGATAGGTAGGGGACAACTGAATTACATTTCGTTTTACATAAACGCAAGCAAGCACAGACAAAGGTTCATAAGTGAGTGTAACAATATAAATCTTCAGACTTTCTAGTAAATAATACCGACTTTAATCATTATCCTGCTACTTATCCTTTCAGAAAAAAACTGATGAGTCAACAGTCATAGTTCTCTGAAAACCGAAGCCATTAGAGAAAAACTCGTTAGTTATATCTTCATGCCTGAAGAATACAGACATCCTAAAACGAATTCAGAGGACTACGAAGAAAGTGAATGAGCTACGACACAAACTTCACCAGCATCGCTTAGTTGTTTTCAAGCTGCACTCTGTATAATATACGAAGATCAGATGGGATGAGACTATGGTGTATCATATCACACATAAGTCTCTTCATCTTGACCAATCGCTCTTAAGCCTCAATCAGAAACTATCTTAAAAGTAATACTTTCAGAGTGGAGCATGAGAGCGCATGCGATAATCCGCATCAACTCATTTGCAGATAGAGTATGTTAACTATAGAAATCCCTTCCTGAAGTTTTCATAGCCTCTTCTACTGGTTTACTAATCAACTGATTATCTGTCCTCTCAAGTTTCTTCACACCGGGAAAGTGCGAACACTCCAAAAACGAGCGCACCCAACATAGACACATGCAGAACCCAATGAACCACTGTCGTTTCTGCAACTGAAAGTCTGAGGCTCATGGAGGCGATGACCTTGACTTCAAAGAGTGTCCTTGATGGTTTTGATCACTGATAAGAAACACTAGCCAAGTCTCCTATAAAACAAACTACAGAAAACCAATGCATCAAAATCAGTTAGGAGAATCCACATTATGAAGGTAGGGACTACTAACACGTCCATACAACCTAAGTTATTAAGCACCACTAGGTTAGTCTGAGAAGTAATAAGTTAAAACCCAACCAACAGTTGTTTGCATTTCCAGAACACAAACCTTGAAACACTGGCGGCATCATGTCAAACGTATACATTTCAAACATCCGTTTGACCTAAAAGTCCGAGTTTCATTGCTCGTTAAACTATCTTATTCATGCAAAAAGACATTTTACCGTTTCATTATCATGACTCCATGTGCACAACAAAGGAAGACACACTTTATGGTATCGACTTGCATTAATACAAAGACTTCTAAACCATGACATCTGACTGTATCGTGATGAATTCGGTACCTAATTCGGCAAAAGAAAGCAGAGGAAACTCTGATAAGTACTACATCAAAAGGTGGAAACACCACAACAAACCTCAAAGAAGCTAATGAAGTGATCCCAGCTACCGCGCCAGATTTTCAAGGTCAAGATTTCAAGTCCAATGTCCGATATCCACTATCCAATATCTCTTTACGAACTAGTGTAAACCAACTGATTTCTTTGTGCTCGCTTCTAGGTCTTGCGGAACGGTTCCAGGTCTTTTATGGGCTCCGATTCAGTAGGTCTACCCATTCGACTGCCGTACCTCTGGTTGGCTCGACGGGCGGTTGGGTGTTGGTTGAATTTGCATGGAGTGTTATTTGTTTGTTTTTTCTTCCGAGGACTGTGGCGCGGATGGGTTCCACAGTGTCGTGCCGGTAGACAATTGATTGAACTGGTTGTAAAAAAGGGATGAAAAGTATGTGCAGAGAAATCAAGGGATAGAAAGTGCAGAGAAAAACAAATGGAAAAAGAAGAGGATAAAAGTGGATTAGGAAAAAGGAAACGGCGCAGAAGAAGAAAAATCGATAGATTTATGCAGAATAGGTGATCTGGAGAGCTTTTGTTAAAGTTTGAGAACTTTAAGTCAGAAGGAAGAATAAGTAACATGATGGGATGAATGGTAATATAGTAATTCTTTTATTAGGAGTCGGTTACTGGAGGAGACGTTTATAAGAAGGTATAAGGTTGAGCCAAGTTCCCAGTGATAGTGGTTCTACAAAGTGTTCAGTAACGGTTGGTCCTACAGAGTTAGTAAGTCGTGTCAGCCTAGTCCACATCCCAGCTGTATGAGTGCAAACCATGCGTTGCTGCGTAACTGTTCCAACCTCTTCTTGAAGCTGTCATCAGACGAAGCAGTAGCAATCTCGGCAGGCAATGCGTTCCAGTGGTGGCAAAATTGCAGAGAGAAGTGTGATCGCACACTGGTTTTTGCTCTTTGTTGAGCGATCCTCCTTGGGCTACCACGAGGATCGCCATAGTCCGCTGTTTGAATGACTTGGGTTACTTAGTATTTTGTAAGCCGTTATCAAGTCACCACGTAATCTACGGTAGCCTAGGGAGTAGAGCCCTAGATCTTTCAACCTGCCCTGATACGGTTTTTACCTCATTCCCACGACACCCTTTGTAGCTAGCCTTTGGACTTTCTCTAGGAGGTTCGCGTCCCTTTTCAGATGTGGTGGTGCAATGACGTTGTGTACCTCTAGTTGAGGGTCGTATATAGGTCTAATACAGCACCCAGTTGTCTACGCATGAAGTGCAGTACTGAGTTGGCCCTGAAGGCACCTCCTGGATAACTGAATCTAGAGTCTAGTTTGTCAGTCAGTATTAGTCCTAGGCCTTTCTCTGTGGTGGTGTGGGAGAGTTGTGTTCCACAGAGAGAACAGGGTGACTTCTGAGAGTTAGCGGTGCGGAGAAACATGGCTCGATACTTATCTAGGTTTGAATGCAAGTCCATTAATATCCACCCAGTCTGCAAGTAACCTGAGGTCACTATGCAGTGCACTTGATTCCGTTTCTGACGTCACAGTTCTCCACAACTTAACATCATCAGCGTAGAGTAGAACAGGGGGGCTGAGATTTAGTGGGAGGTCGTTCACAAAAATAAGGAACAGCAGTGGACCCAGAATCGCCCCTCGTGGCACGCCAGATGATGACCTCCAAGTCAGGCAAACTCTGTTAGCTTTTGAGCAGAATTTTCTACCATCTGGATAGTCCTGCAACCATGAAAGCACTTGTCCCTTGATGCCCAACCTTTCTATTTCGTAAATAAGAACGGTGCGTGGAACTGTGTCGAAGGCCTTAGAGAAATCTAGGAAAATAAGATGGACAGGAATTCGGAGGTCCCTGCATGCCGTCCACTTATCACCTGTCACCAGAAAGTTTGAGGCCCAGGACCTGCCCTTTCACTAAGTGCTCCCCTCTTTTCTAAGTACTCCCCGACATGGTCGTCTACCAGGCTGTCCATTACTTTTGACACCGCTGATAGAAGGGCTATGGGTCGGTAGCATTTTGGGTTCTGCCTGTCTCCGCCTTTGAAGATGATGGACAGAATAACACTTTTCCACCCTTGTGGAGGCATGTGCTTGTCTAAGGAGTGTTTAAGCGAAATAAACAGCGGACCGCACAAGGCGACGGCGCATTGTTTCAACACAGCCGGTTGGATGTCATCACATTCTCGTGATTTCCCTGCGCAGAGCTTTGATGGTTTTTCGAGGACCTCAGCAGGAGTCACCTTTATTCCGGGTAACTCTACTGCATTTGGTGGTGCCGAGTGTTGGTCGGACAGTTGGTAATTTTGGCTCGATAGGGACGTATTCAGTTGCCTATCGAAGGCTGCACCAAAGGCTTCGGCGATCTCTAGTCCGGAGAGGCCTTCCAGGATGCAAGCCCCCAGCTGGCGGACTTCCTGCCTGCCATAAATCGGTATAGGTTTTTGGAGTTCACTTCGAGCTTCTAAGCAAGATTCCCCCAGAATGACCTCCTGTCTCCCCTCACCTTGGTAGTACATCGATTTTTTAGGACAACATGCACGGTGTGGTCAGACTATTTTCTGGAGGTCCTCCTCTACCGCTCCAGCGGTATTGTTGTGATTACTGGGGCGTTTCAGAGACAGCTTTCTTGATAATATCTCTGGCTAGTTCCCAATGCTGATCAGTTGACAGGTTGCTCCACTCCTGAGGCCACGGTGCTGTCGACAGGTATTGGTTTATCGCCACGCAGTTTGCCTTGCTGTAGCAAAGACAAGAGCGAGATCTCTCCCATGACAGTTGCTCGTTTAGTACCAGATGGAACACTGCCAGATCGTGATCGGCGCTACCGAGGGGGGGTTTAAACTTGTACATTTTCTGCCAGCAGGTGGTCACTGGTAAAAAGGTAGTCCGGTTTGAAAGGCCTTCCGCCTGACCCCCAGCGAGTGTCATCACCAATATCCTCGTACAGCACAGCCTTCTTGATAGTGTTGAGTAGGTTTCTGTTGAACCTTCGGCTTGAGGTTCCCCTGTCCTGCCCAAGATTGAGGGTTGGAGCATTAAAGTCGTCGGCTCCAATGACCTGGTCATATCCGAAGAACATCACTCCAAACATTACTTGCAGCAGTTGTCGGTCATCATCCACGCTGCTAGAGGGAGTTCCGTAGACGCCCCTGCCAGGCACTGGGTGTGTCCAACCTCAAAGTGACACCAAACGGGGTCTGGGAGCCCTGAAAGTAGAGCTTCAGTTGCTCGTTCACTTTTAAGGCCATCACTTATAAGCATCGCCACTCCGCCTCCTTCCTCAAACTCCACTGTCTCTCCTGAACAGACACATACCGTCTATACCAGTTTCCATGCCAGTAATATCCGATCATAATCAAGTTTCCGTTAGGATTATTATCGCTGGGGCAAGGCAGGAGCGAAGAAGCCGCATTCCCTCCATCTTACTTCCAAATCTCACACTGTTGTAAAGACACTTGGATATGTTTCTAACGGCATGGGGCATCTTGGTGCTGGCAGACCGAAGGGGTCGTGCATAATGGCAAAACTCGCTACAGGATGGCCAGCTCCAGCGGAACCGGCCCAATCACTTTTTCCCACAATGGTTCCTGGGGCTTTCATAGAGTCTGGGCCTGTTTGCACATCTTGTCTGTTGACAGTGATGGTGACTTCAGCAGTGGGCGAAGCTGCCACTTGCTGTTGTCGCAGTGTCCTCGGCCTGCTTCCACAGCAGCGAACGTTCCCACTGATGTTGTCTTTTACTGTGCACCAAGTTTGCAGCACCCTGGTTGAAAGTTCTTGACAGCCGAAGTTAACAGCCGTCGACCGGGATGACGTTATTGTCATCAAATGTGAGGGACGTGGCAGTCTGCAGACCGCCGCCACCGCTACCACACTTGACCCTACCCTCGCTGATAATCACTGCCATTGCTGGGCGTTGTGGGCGTACTCTTCCACAACTGTGCAGGTTGTCAGCTCCGGTATGTCGTGGACAACCATAGATGTTGGTTTCAGTGTTTGGGTGCCTCGCGAGATACTTTTCTTGCTGACTAGGGACGGTCTGGTCTGGCTCCAGTGCTGGATGACCTGTTGATGACCAGTGTGTGTGACATCAACATGAACCTTTCTGCCTCCTGAGCTGAGATCAGGGTCACTCTCATCGGCGGAGGCTTTCCCCGAGGTGATTAGTTGCCTTTGTCGGGCCGGTACAGCTTTACTTCAAAGCTACCCAGTCCTGGTATGGTGCATACGGTTTCCCATTCCTGTTTGTCAGAGGATTCTCTGTTCTCACGACGGCTATCATGCCACACGGAGGCGTTAAATAGGATGGTGGAGTTTAATCCGTCACGAACTCTGTTTTCGTGTGCTGTAGGTGGTTTTTTGTGGGAAGGGTGCACCTTCTTTTCCACTGTCACCCATTTTTCCCTATGTACAGTGGAGTTAGCTGTTAAAGTGACTTCAGAATCAGGGAATAATGTAGTTGGTCACGTACCGGTCGCCGTTTGGGTCTTTTTGGACTATTCACTGGTGCAACTGTCAGGGGAACGGTGCTGACACTCTTGCCACTTGGACCTGGGGTGGTGGTCTGTGTGGGTGCCGGCATCACAGTGGCCACCGAGATGTTTTTCACGACCTCGATTAGCGAGCCCACAGAAAAGAGTTGCCTTATACGGCACTGTTTGCAGATGTACCAGAACCGCTTGCAGGGGTAGCGCGCCATGAAGGTGTAATATTGGTCTGGTATGTCCTCAACTGGAGAGTCAATAATCGACTCCGATAATGTCACTATGACGACAACCACGAGCAAATTGAGCATTGGAGAGGCTATCATAATGTCTCCAAAAACATCGGAGGCTCTCATGCAGTGTAAACCAATCTCCTCCTCCGATCACGATCACGATCATGACAGCAAGATTCAACTCAAAAGGAAGGAAAGTCACAATCATTTACTACTACGCCACGCACCTACAAATAGTGCGGATGAATAGAAGAATGAGGAATTCTACAGTCAACTGCAATCAGCACTGGTAAAGACTGCAGTTGGTGACATCAAAATTATAATGGGTGACATGTTTTAATGTCAAACTCGTAGCGGACAACAGAGGAAGAGAACTCATCATGGATAGAGAAGCGCTTGGTGTAATGAGGAATGAGAATGGAGAATTGTTTGCAGAATT